GAAAAACAAGGATGAGGAACTGAGCATACTTCCAACAAATTACAATCAATACTACTGACAAAGGCTGTGAAGTATAAAACTAGGATGAAGTACAGTAGATGTGCCCTCAACTCCATCTTCTTACATCTTAGAGGAGAACCACTTATTTCATTCATTTTGCCACCATATAAGCTGTCTTAACTCCTGATTATATATTGTAAATAAAATAATTATTATCTGATTGGGCCACAGATATAGTAAAGCAGGCAGGGTAATTGCTTTTCACGAGGCAAACTTGGGTTTAACCTCTGGCACCAGTTGTTGTTCCCCGAGCCCTCCACCAAGAGTAATCCCCTTGTGGAGACCCAGGAGTAAATCCTGAGCACCACCAGGTATGGCACAAACACAAAAGAATTATTATATTCTCCCCTCCCATCCCTACCTTGTCTGCCTAAAGAACTTTTCTATACTTCCTCAAAACTCCACCCTACCAGAATGTCATCTCATTCAGGAAGTCTGTCTTGACCATCTTCTTCACCCAGAATCAACACATTCTTCCTTCCTTTATTTTGGCTTTTTTCATTAGGGCTGGAGCGATAGCACAGTGGTAGGGCGTTTGCTTTGCACGTAGCCAACATGGCCGACCCGAGTTCGATTCCTCTGCCCTTCTCGGAGAACCCAGCAAGCTACCGAGAGTATCTCGCCCACATGGCAGAGCCTGGCAAGCTCCCCGTGACGTATTGGATATGCCAAACACAGTAACAACAAAATCTCCAATGGAGATGTTACTGGGCCCGCTCAAGCAAATCGATGAACAATGGGAAGGCCTTTACTTTTACCTTTACTTTTTTTTCATTGGCTGGGTGGGGGAGTGGTTGGTCAGTGTGGTTGACCAGTGATACTCAGGACTTATTCCTAGCTCTGCACTCAGGGATCACTCCTGGCAAGAGGGGAGACAAGAGGTGCAGGGGATCAAACCCAGGTCTGCTGTGTGCAAGGCAAATAAGAACTATACCTATCTGGTCCTCTTCGTTTACTCTAAGTCTGTGCTTTATCACTGCATCACTGTCATCCCGTTGATCTTCGAATTACTCGAGCAGGTGCCAGTAATATCTCTATTCCACCCAGCCCTGAGATTTTAGCAGTCTCTTCTTACTCGTCTTTTCTCAATTATTGGAGACTCTTTCGGGGTCAGGAAAAAGAGACCTCTTCTCGTTACTGTATTTGGTATATTGAATATGCCAGGGGGGGCTTGCCAGGCTCTGCCCTGGCAGGCGGGATACTCTCGGTAGCTTGCCGGGCTCTCCGAGCGGTATATATTTATATATTTTTCTCTATGATTTGTTGCCTACTATCTGAACCCTATCAGATATGGTGTAGTAATTATAGGAAAATGGGTAGGAAGTATCTTATAATCACTGTCGAGTGTTCCAGAATGCGGCCTGGAGAGTGGCGATGGTTTGGTAGTGGAGGTCGGCTACTGGGGCTGGGTTCCTTGGGGTAGTCCAGTGGCATGGTTCTGGAAGCCTCATTTTATACTCCTGTCTGAGAGGAGCAAACTGAGTTCTGGAGGGTGGCCAATGAGGAAATTATCTGGTGCCGGCAAGGTGTGGCTTATGGGTGTGATCCCTGAGTCACCGGAGACTGGGGGAAGCAGGCAAAGGATCTCTGTTTCGAGGTCTGCTGAGTCCGGAGTCCAAGGTAATGAAGTTCCACCCTTTCTGGGTTCCCTGGGACTTCATTAATGCATGAGGCTCGGCCTGAGCGTCGAAAAGTGGCCTGGAGCATGGTGGTGGTTGGCTAGTGGAGGTCGGCTGTCAGGGCTGGGTCCCTTGGGGGTGGGGAGGTCTCTCACCTGCCCCACAGCCTGGCACGGCTGTCCTTTATAACTCTCTATTACTCAATTTCTCGCAAACATTGTAAATTGTCTCCAAGCCGAAGACCTCCAGAACCAGCCACCACCATGCTGAAACCACTCTCCACACACATAAAGGTACAGGCAGAGGAACAAAGGCATGCAGGTCCCAGGGCTGACATCTCCAAGCCTGCTCAGATCGGGGCTGAGCATCCTCCACCCAGATCCTCCAAATTCCAGTAGGCAGGGGTCACACCCACCAACTGGCCCCCTGGCACCGTGTAATCCCATCAACGGCCAAGATCCAGAGACTATAAAACCCAGCTCCCGGAAGCGATATCTTATTATCTCATTCTTACTTTGGACAACCTGGCAGGCTACCGAATGTAAACTGCCCACACAGCAGAGTCTGGCAAACTCCCCGTGGCATACCCAATATGCCAAATACCAGTAACAATGATGGGTCTCATTCTCCTAACCCTGAAAGAGCCTCGAATATGGCACTTTTTAAAAAATCTCAGGGCTAGGATGAAGGAGACGTTACTGGGGCCTGCTTGAGGCAATCGATGAACAACAGGATGGTTGTGATCGTTATTGTAATTTGTTTATATATTCTTTCTCCCCTCCTAGACTGTGAGTGGATTCCTTAGATGCACAAACTGCCTTCATTTTGGATAGATCCCCATTGCCTAAAATAGTACCAAATACTGCTATATTTACTGAACATAGACTCTTAAACTTACTGGATACATGCCATTTACTGAATAAAAGTCAAAAAAAAATAATAAGCACCAAGAACAAAGCTCAAAGAGCTGGAATGCTTACTTTGCATGCAAGAAGCCCGGGTTCAATCCCTGGCACCACATGGTATGGGTCAGCAGCAGACCTTGAGCATCACCAGCATGACCCAAAACACAGAAAAAGAACAACAATCACCAGGCAACAAATGAGACAGAAGTCTCTTTCCCTTTTCTTTTTCTAAAAAACCCCTTGCGGGGCCGGAGTCATAGTACAGAAGGTAGGGTGTTTGCCTTGCACACAGCCAACCCAGGTTCAATCCCTGCCATCCCATATAGTCCCCAAGCACCGCCAGGAGTAATTCCTAAGCGCAGAGCCAGGAGTACCCCTGAGCATCACTGGGTATGAACCAAAAAGAAAAAATAAATGAAATAAACAAAAAAACCTCTTGGTTGTTATTCACACATGTTCATTTTCTTATGGACAAAGGAAAATGGGCTCCAAGGCCAGGAGATGGCTCAGCGGTCAGGACCATATTCCCTGCATGCACAGGGGGCCTACCTGTTCCCTGTAGTCCAATCCACAAGTCACCCTTCCCAGCATCGCCAGGTATACCCTGGATGCACCAACACACTGCTAGGATTGCCCTGGTGGACCTAGGCTCTCAGAGCTCCAGTGGCACTGCACCACTGGAACCAAGAACTGAATCGTCAGGTCCAGTGAGCCTTGTATTCTCAGGAATGGTCCCAGGATCCCCCTGGATACTGCCTGGATCTCCCCCACCCCCCAAAAAAATGGACTACTAAAGAGTTTTATTTTAAAAAACAAGTGACAGAATTAGTTACAGAAATGAAATTAGTCTTTTAATATAGGAGTTCAAATACCACTCACTGGGAGAGTCTTAGATGTGATGCATTTCCAAGATTCCTTCCTCATAGCATTCTAGAGCAAAAGTAACACAATTCACGGGACATGTAAGTCCAATAGTGCTTGAAGGCAGGGATATAAACTGAAACATTTTAAGGTCTCTTCGATCCTAGAATTTTCTCCTTTATTAAGATACAAGGGAACTACTTTCATTCACAGTGGTACTATGTGCAACTAACACAAATATAAAGCTACTGGCCTGGCTAATCTAGTGTCAATAATAAGGATGAGAAAAAAACAAATTCCAAATTTAATCACACATATGGTAGGCAGAATAATGACCCTTCTCCTACCACCACCCCCCCACTTCCAGACCCCAAGATATCCAGAGCCTACTCCACAGAACTTGTAAATATGTCACCTTATAAGGTGAATGCAATGAAAGATTTTTAAACAAGATATTATCAAGGATAATCTGGTGGACCTAATGAAATTATAAGGCATCATACGCAGGAGGCCAGAGATCAGAGTCAAAGAATATGTGACAGGAGTCAGAGAGATAGTATAGCGAACAAGGCACTTGCCTCCATGCAGCCAACCTAGGTTTGATTCCAGGCACCACAATAGCCTCCAGGATTGATCCCTGAACACAGATCCAGGAATAAACCCTGAGTACTGCCAAGTGTAGCCCAAAGACAAAGCAAAAAAAAAAAAGAAGAAGAAGAACAAGCATGTTACAATAGAAGCAAATATCAGAGAGGGAAGAAGAACTTAAAGATCAGAAAAATTGCTCTAGGTAAAGGTAAAGGCCCTCCCGTTGTTCGTAGATTTGCTCAAGCGGGCCCAGTAACGTCTCCATTGGAGACTTTGTTGTTACTGTGTCTGGCATATCGAATACGTCACGGGGAGCTTGCCAGGCTCTGCCATGCAGGCGAGAAACTCTCGGTAGCTTGCCGGGCTCTCCGAGAGGGGCAGAGGGATCGAACTCAGGTCGGCCATGTTGGCTGCGTGCAAGGCAAACGCCCTACCGCTGTGCTATCGCTCCAGCTCTAAACATTTGGACAAGGGAACTATAAGAAGAAAAAATGCAGGCCACCTCTAGAATCTGAGAAATGTCGAGGAAATGCTTAGTCCCGGGGCCTTAGGAAGAACTCAGTCCTGCTGAACCTTGGCATTAGCCCAATAAAAATTACTTTGGACTTCTGGCTTCCAGAAGTAATTTGGAACTTTGGAACTATGATAATCTGGTGTTTGGGATCACCAAATACATGGTAATTCAGTACAACAATAATAGAAAATTAGGGGCTGGAGCGATAGCACAGCGGATAGGGTGTTTGCCTTGCACGAGGTCAACCCAGGTTCGATTCCCAACATCTCATATGGTCCCCCAAGCACCACAAGGAATAATTTCTGAATGCAGAGCCAGGAGTAACCCCTGTACATCGCCAGGTGTGACCCCCCAAAAATCAAAAAAATTAAAATTAAAAATAAAAAAATAGGAAATTAATGTAAGCCTAAGAGTACCTCTTTAGTCAAAAAAAGGATAGTAGCCAAAACTTACTTTCTAGGAAGCAATGATCTCGAACAGCTTCTGCAGCTAATACAGACTTTCCACAACCTGCCATTCCATATATAGTGACCCATCCTGGTTCAGAATTCAGTTTGAAGAGCCTCTCACGAATTGCAGTCACCAACTTCTTCCTGGTAACAAAAACAACCGGCCTCTGCGGTACCCCACCTTCACACAGGACTGTTCTAACTGAAATGCAAAACAAAACAAAGTGAGCACAAATAAAATTTTGAAATGGATACTCAAGTAATAGTACTAAAATCAAGTAATAGTTCTAATTTCTCAGTACACCCTAAATTAAAGGAAAACAACTTTTAAAATTAGGATGTGGATATATTATTATATCAGCAGCAGACAGCACTTTAAATAAGAAAAACTGAAATTAAATGAAAATACTTAGATTAGAAAAAATAATTATGTTTTCACATCCATTTTGCAGTATCTTCAGCCAACTCCATCCATAAGACAAAACTGTATCAATGTAGCTTTTAGGGAAGCATTTGAAAGTATCCTGAATACAAACCATATGAAGTTATTCCACCAACTGAATCTTTGCCATTGAAAGAAGAGACCGCAGGAACAGCACCATGGAGAAGAGCGGCAAGGTCTTTATATCCTTCATGGAGTAGAGCATTATAGAATGATATGTAGGAATAATTATCTTTTTTAAGTATCATTTTAATTAGCATAGCTGCTCGATGCTGTTGAGTGGGCTAAAAAAAAAAAAAAAGAATATGTTTGCAACATAAATTCGTGGAGACCTTTGCAAGCTATAGTTTAAATTCTACAACTCTGAAAGAGGGGCCAGAGAGACAGTCCAAGGGTAAGCTCTTGCCTGGCAAGTAGCCAACCCAGATTCAATCTCTAGTACCACATATGGTCTGCTGAGCACTGCCAGGAGTGATCCCTGATCATAGCCAAGTATGGCCCATCCCCCCTCCACCCTAAATTTGTTACACCTAAAATTCTGAAAGTACAGACTGCCTCAGAGACTTCACCTCATTTTTAACTTTTTCTTCCTCTGATACTGTTAAAACGCCATCACTAATCATGTGATCCATGATGTAGGATGTCTTGATGTCCTTTTCAAGAGCTTCTCTATGTTGAAGCAAACAATTTCGAGCTTTTGCATCCATTCTCCCTCAAGTTTTTCTTTCTCTGAGCTGTCAACCATGAGCTGAAAATCAAACATCAAAATATCTGTCAGTCTATGAGAGAACCTGCAGTAAAATCCAGGTATGCGGGACCTGTGACTGAGATCTCTGAGCTCTCTCAGAATGGGACTGGACCTCCTCCTCTCCCTAGCTCCCTAGTTTTCCAGTAGCTTGGCAGTCACACCCAAACTGATAAACACACACACACACACACATACACACATACACACACACACACACACACACACACACGGTGCCATATAATTTCATCCGCAGCCCAAGAACCAGAGACTATGAAATAAAGCTTCAGGAAGGGAGCGACATAGATAGTCCTGGACCTATCGTCCTGTCGCAGACCTCTTAAACTCTAGCCGACAGATGTATCAAAAGTAGCATACATTTGTTTGGGTCTAACATACATGCTTGTAATAATCTACAAGATGATATAATAGCATTCAAACAAGCCTATGGTAAACACTGTGTGTAAAAAAGTGTATGTATGAAATGGAATGTTACACTTTAAATTAGTAGTTATTTAAAATTGGTAGCTACAGCTCTATGAACTGCCTTGGAAAGATGCACATGACATATTACTGAGAAAATTAAAACTATAACCCTATATATAGAACATAACTTTGTTCAGGGTCTGGGGTGGGGCTCAGTGTTACAGTCTGAGTTCAATTCAGAGCTAAGAAGGAAGAAGAAAGGAAGAAAGAAAAAGGAAGAGGGGCTTAAAAGAAGAGAGAAGCTAGAGAAAGGAGAGAGGGGGAGAAAAAGGATGTTACATATTCAATAAAACGTATGCGTTACTTTGGGTAGCAGAATTTAGAAAGTATTTCTGCCCACTAATTTGTATTTTTCCATATTCACTTAATTTTTTTAACACGTTATCATTTTCCACGTGTACAAAGATACTTGTTCGTTAAAATTTTATCAACAGAGACCATATAGAAACTCTAATGTTTAGGAACTTTTGTTTTCCTTGTCCAAAAGACTAAAGAACATATTGATGGAACGGGGCATTTAGTCTTCACTGACAAAACACAAGTCTCACATGCTTGCTTTCAGTTTCTGTTGAGTTGCTAAGTGTGATAAAGCAGCAGAAAATACTCACTGATGTCACTTCTTGGATTAAAAAAAGAAAGGACAATATTCTTGACTCTACCGATTTTTCTACCATTTTGTTTCTACCAAAATTATTTCATACAGAATACAAATGTTTCCAAAGGCTTAAAATCCAGATCAGAATGTTTGCAAGTTTTAAAATAAGTACCAAACTCTACCCGGTGGATTACAGTGTGGGTTTATTAATTTATTCATTCAATAAATATTTGAGGGGGCTGAGCAATAGCACAGCGGGTAGGGCGTTTGCCTTGCACACGGCCAACCTGGGTTCGATTCCCAGCTTCCCATATGGTCCCCTGAGCATTTCCAGGGGTAATTCCTGAGCACAGGGCCAGGAGGAACCCCTGTGCATTGCCGGATGTGACCCAAAAAAGCAAAATAAATAAATAAATATTTGAGTCCCTTCTATGTACAGGTCTCTTGGGAGCATAAAGAAGTAGTGAGAGCAGTTACCTCTGCTTGACAAGGCTCACGAAATGCTCTCACTAACATGAAACTAACTGATTAAAGAAAAAGTTATGATTAGGGGCCAGAGGGCTAGCACATTTGCCTGGCAAACAGCCGACCTGAGTGCAAAGCCATGAGTAACCCTTGAGCATTGCTAGGTGGGGCACAAAAAAACAACCCCCAAAAAATTACAATTAGAGAATCACTATCTTTCAAACATCAATGACGTCTGTTATCCCAATTTAAACAGAAAACGTTCCTTCATTTCAAGTAATGACATTCAATTTGACAAGATCGAATTTGTTCAGGTAGCAAGCAACAGTTAAGCAAATACACAATCTGAAACTAATTTCCGACTTTGGTAGCTTTATGAAGCCTCAAGGCGCACATTTTAAGTTGGAATACTAAGATACTTTATTGTTTTAAAAAGATTAAGTGTTCATATCGGCTATCATTTATATTCAACCATATATACATATAATGGGATGCTTATATGCAATCATATTATACATAACTGAATAGTCATGTTCAACCGAAATAATCGGGACAAATTCTCCAATCCCTCCAACTTTGGGAAACACCATCAATAGAGGAAGTGGAAACCGTTCTTTGCTGTGCAATAGACAGAAACGGGTCGTTGCATCCAAAAAAACCTAACTGCTGCTGACTGCTTCCTCTTGCTAGCATTTCTCTTCCTGGTGCAGGAGGTCTAACAAGAACCATCCTAGAGGAGCAGGAGGGTGTTCAACCCTTCCTCGTCCCCGACTTCAGGCTCACTGACACGGGCCACTGCAATCCCAAAGGGAACCTGGCTGGGGGGGACTGGGGGTGGGGGGAAGCAGAGAATCCATCAACTTACCCAAGCCTTGGCGCCGAGGTCTTACTTCCCAGGACTCAGCCTTGCAACGGACCGAGTGGGGGAAAATCCAGGTCGGGAGGTGAATAAGAACTAAGGGGTGGGGGGTGGGAGGGAAGGAAAGCAGGATTCGGGGCGCCACGCCCAGGCAAGTCCGGACCTCCCAGGTATACTGCGGCCCGAGGAGTGCCTGAGGACCCCCCGGGACCCTCGCCCCCACGTCACTCCCTCGCAGTCCTGGGACGCCGAGGGGAATCCCGGCCCGCGAGCCTCAGTCCCGGAGGACCCCGCCCCGCACACAAAGGGAGGCGGGCCCCGTCGGGCGGTCGCTCCTTCCCTCCGGCCGCAGCAGCAGCAGCAGCCCGGTGGGCCACTCGGGACGCCGCCGCGGCTACTTCAAGTCCCTGCGGCTCACAGACGGCCCAGACCCCCTCACCCGCCCTCTCCTCAGGTTCCTCCCGCCACTGCAGCCGCCGGAAGAAATAAAGCACCCGCGTCCGCTTGACAGCTCCTCCCGGCCTCCTCAGGACCGCGGAGCAGTCAAAAAAAAAAAAAAAAAACGCCGGGCCCGCCCAGCCGGACAGCGCGCACACGCGCAGGCAAATCAACACGCCTCCGAGCCCCTCTGGGGACGGCCGTCGCCGGGCGCGCTCCCGCGCGCTGAGGAGGAAGCGCTTCCCGCCTCACCCCGCCGCGGGGGCGTGGCTAAGACATCAGGGTGTGGCTAAACCTCCGGGATGTGGCTAAGACTCCGGGGCGTGGCTAAACCTCCGGGGCGGAGACGTGACTAAACCCCGGGACGTAGTAAAGCTCCGGGGCGTGGCTAAACAGCGAAGTGTAGTAAAATTAGGGGGCGTGGCTCAGACTCAGGGGCGTGGCTAAACCTCCGGGACTTGACTTAACCTCTAGGGGCGTGGCTAAACCTCCGGAGCGCGCCGCGTCGGGCTGAGGAAGAAACGCGGCGACGGCGCCGGCGACGAGCTCGACGTGGCGCGCGCGGCCCCGCCACGCCACGGCCACGCCCCGCTAAGGAGCCGCTTCCCTCTCCTCCTTGCTCGCGTCCCACGCAGTGTTTTGCACAGATTTGCACCCTGAAAGCAAAGGACGAGTCTAAGAGGGTCGACCCCTGCCTCAGCCGGAGGAGCCTGCAGACCGGGGTGGGGGGGGGGGGGGTCCTGAGAAAGTGGGGGGGGAATGCTTTGAACCCACGGGGATGGCCGGGAGAGGGAGGGAACCGGTCTCTGGGCGGTGCCAAGTTCGGTTGGGGGCGCGGTCACCGCCCCTGCAGAGGCGGCCACGTCCCGTTCCCCCCAGAGTTAAGGAGTCGGGGTTTGTGGTGCGCAGGGTCTTCCCAAGACATGTCTGAGGTGAAAAACCGGAAGAAGTCGGGGCCCAAGGGAGCCCCTGCGGAGCCCGGGAAGCGGAGTGAGGGCGGGAAAAGCCCCGAGGGACCGGGCAGCGGAGGCGGGCGCTGGGCAGACCCCCGGACGGGCCTGAGCCTGCTGTCGCTGGGGACGTGCCTGGGCCTGGCCTGGTAAGTGGACGCGAGGCCGACCCGCGCGACCCTCAAGTCGCCCCGCTCTTGCCCGCGCCAGCCGGCGTGGCATCTCCCTTCCTCACCCTCGACCCCGAGTTTCCTATTTTTTTTTTCATTTCTCTCCTTTCTTAGAGCTCGCTTTCCCTTTTCCTTATCCCTCGATCGAGGGGTGGGGGGGGTGCCGACGTTGAGGTTTAGGAACGAGAACCAGCCACATTTTCCAAAGGGCGGCAGATTCCACGCCGAACCGCGTGGGGGTCCCGTTACTTTGCGTCCACTGCGTCGGTCCGGCCGTCGTGGACACGTTTGCACCCCCACCGCCACCGCCATGCATTCCTGACGGCCGCGTTAGCAGCCTGGAAAGAAAGCGTTCTGTCACTCTTGATCTCACATCCACAGAGTAATGAGCATCCCCCGCCATCAGGGGATTTGTCCTCTTTTCCATCACGGTGCGTCCAGCACAGCCTAAGGCTTAGGATGTGGCTATGTAGGACCCCACGATGGCTTGCATGCTTGAAGCTCCGAATTGAAACTCCAACCATGCCTCAGTACTTTTTTTTTCCTACTTTTTAATGAAACAAAAACCTGTTTCCTAGTTTATAGGTTGAGCTATGCACCATGATGTAATGAACATAGACCACTGTTGTTCACCTAAAACTTCCATTTTTATTTATTTGGGTTTTTGACCACACCCTGCAGTGTTTGGGGCCTGCCCCAGGCTCGGTGCACCCAGTTTTCCCTGGTTGTGCTGGAGATCCGGCCTGGTTCATCCTTTTGCGCAATCTCTCGGGCCCTAAAACTAAACATTTATAGTTTTTAAGTGTAGTGGATGATATAGTGGGGTCATAGGGAAAACATTGGCTGGAATAGTAGCACAGCGTGTAGGGCGTTTGCCTTGCACGCCGTGGACCCGGGTGGATTCCTCCGTCCCTCTCGGAGCTGGGCAAGCTACCGAGAGTATCCCGCCGGCAGGGCAGAGCCTGGCAAGCTCCTGGCGTATTCGATATGCCAAAAACAGTAACAAGTCTCACAGTGGGATATTACTGGTGCCCACTGGAGCAAATGAATGAACAACGGGAAGACAGTGCTACAGCGCAGGGAAAACTTTAGAAATATCCTTGAAACCAGCTTAGTTTTGCCAGTTCTGGAGTGGGGTGGAGTGTGCTTGTCTGCCAAGTACACATAGCTTCGCTGTAGCCCCCCACCGGAACTTTTCCTTTAAGCATAACCATAATTTCCTTTTGATAATATCGATGCTTTTTAAAAAAATATTTTAAGATTTTATTAAAGCACCATGACTTACAAAGTTATTTATAGTTGAGTCTTAGACAATACAGTATTGCAGCACCAACCCCACCATTGGTGTCAACTTCCCTCCACCAATGTTGTATCAATGCTTTAAATTACAAGTTTGCTCCAATGTTCATCTATTTTTAAAGTATTCATAAAATACTTATCTTCCAGAGTATAATAGAATTTTATAAAGGACGGGGATGTTCTCAAGTCCAGAACATTGTTGATGCTAAGACATTTTGATTTATGGATTAGAGGATAGTATAGCAGGTAGGATACTTGCCCTGTGTGCAACTGACCTGGATTCTATCCTGGCATCCCATGTGGTCCCCTAGCATTGCCAGGAGTAATTACTGAGTGCAGAGCCAGGAGTAACCTCTGACCACTGCCAGGTGTGGGCCAAAAACTAAAAAAATGTTTTATTTATGGAGCTGGAGAGATAGTATAGCAGGTAATGTCAGGGTTTGATCCCCAGTGCCCCATATGGTCCCCTGAGCACTGCCAGGAGTGATTCTTAAGTGTAGAGCCAGGCGTAACCCCTGAGCATTGCAAGTTGTGCCCTCCCAAAGGTGTTTTTTTTTTTATTGCACTTTACTCATCCAGAGTTGAAGTCTTTCAACAAAAGATTTATTTAAGTGAATGTTGACTCTTAAATGATTTTTTTCCCAAAAGAAATCATTTATTAATATAATTTTCTTTGTGGAATATTCTGATCTTAAAAGAATAAATTACTGATTGTGCTGTTTTAAATAAACTTCTTTGTGTTTTAAAATTTATGACCTTAACAGAAAAACAAAACAAGTGCTGGGAAAGTTACTCAAAAGTCATTCTAGCAGGAGAAAAATTTCTCTCTTTATTGAATTTAAGAGATTAAGTGATTATTAGCTCTCATCAGTCACTTAACAATTACAGTTACTTGAGATAAATCACGAAATGTTCCACTTTTCGATAAGTTACTTCCTGGGAGAACAGCAATAGGAATTTAAAGGAGAAAGAAATGTTTTAGGTTTTACATCCTTCATTTGCATGAACCCAACTCTGCTTTTAAATGAGAACAGACCTGGAGCTTCCACCAAGTAAAAGTAGTTTGGGGGTTTTTTTTGTGATTTTTTTTGGGGGGAGGGGTTGTTCCCTGAGATTTTTTTTTTTAATTTTTATTAGTAAGACATCATGAGGTACAGTTGTAGACTTACAAATTTTTGTGCTTGGGTTTCAATTCTACAATGATCAAGTACCCATCCCTCCACCACTGCCCATTTCCCACCACCACTGATCCCAGTATCCCTCCCCCCCCATCCCCCCCCCCCCCCCCCCCCCCCCCCCCCCCCCCCGTCTCTGTGGCAGGGCATTCCCTTTTGTTCTCTCTCTCCTATTGGGTGTTGTGGTTTGCAAAAGAGGCAATGGGTGACAATCATGTTTGGTCTATAGTCTACTTTCAGCATGCTTCTCCCATCCTGGGAGGATCCTCCCAACACCCTTTATTTGGTGTTCCCTTCTCTATCTGAGCTCCCTTTTTCCCTAGCATGTGCGGTTGGCCTCCAAGCCATGGAGTAAAATTCCTGGTACTTATCTCGGCCAATCTTGGGTGTTAATCTCCTATTTTGTTACTTTATGTTCCCCAGATGAATGCAATCTTTCTATGTCTATCCCTTTCTTTCTGAGTCATTTTGCTTAACATGATACTTTCCATGTAGTACCACTTGTATGTAAATTTCATTGCTTTCTCTTTTCTAACAGCTACATAGTACTCCATCGTGTAAATGTACCAAAGTTTCTTTAACCAGTCATCTGTTCTCGGGCACTCAGGTTTTTTCCAGATTCTGGCTATTGTAAAGAGTGCTGCAATGAACAAACAATTGCAGATGTCACTTTGACTATACTTTTTTTGCCTCCCTGAGATTTTTATGAGGGAGAGAGGGTTCCTTCCTGATTTGGGTGCCACACCTGGTGTTGCTCAGGGCTTACTCGTGGCAGTGACTATATGTGTGGAGCAGTGGCTCAAACCCAGAGCAGCCACATGCAAGGCAAGTACCCTACCCGCTGCACCAGAGGCCAAAGGAAAAGGCCAAAGAGCTGATTGGTGGTGTAATCTAGGCACTCAGCTTTGTAAACATGAGCCTATTTAATCTCTACAATTCTATCAGATAATATCTTTGCTTTACAGGTGGAAATATAGTAAACATGCCCAAGGTTATATGGGTTAAGCAGTTAGTAAATGGCAGGGCCAGAGTGGTCCAGCTCCACATTCCTTTTGTGCAGTGTTAGGAATCAAACTCGGGCTCTCCTGCAGCTCCACATTCTTAAGCCAGTATAATAAATTTGTCTCTTTTCAGTAATCTAAAGAGAGTGTCTGGACCTATAAATAAATTCCTAGTCCAGAGCTATTAAGAGCTTTTCTTCTAGAAGTTATAGTCCTTAACAGACTAACCTGAAGAAGACAAAAAGGAAGGTTTTAACTGCTCCAGGTTGGAGCGCATCTAACACAAAATAGAAATGAAGTACTTCAGATGGTCACTTAGATGCCACTTTCAAAAGTTCATCTTTCAGAATAGAATCTACCTCCTACATTTTTGGCTTCTAGAAAATCATCCTTTTAAAATAAAATTGGGGCAAGGGGGCAGGGCATTCTGCTTGCCAAGCAGCCAAACTGAATCAATACTTAGCACCCCATGTACTCCCCTGGGAACCTTCAGGAGTGATCCCTAAGTGCAAAGCCAGGAGTAAGCCCTGAGCACAAGGTTTGCCCCCAAAATTTTTAATTTTTTAAATCCTCTTCCCAGGACCCGAGCAATAGTATAGTGAGTAAGGCATTTGCCTTGCATGCAGTCAACCTAGACTTGATCCCCCAGGACCCAAGATGGTCCCCTAAGCCCTACCAAGAGTGATCCCTGAGCACAGAGCAAGGAGTAAGCCCTAAGCATCACCGGGTGTGGCAAGAAAAATCAAACCAAAAAATCCTCTTTCCTAATATGAAAATAAGTTAATATTTATGCAAAAGTTGTTTCAGACACATTTAAGTGAAAAGTGAAGTATATTTTATCTCAATACCACACAAACCACTTTTTTATTAATAATACTGTTTTCTTTTGTACACACTATTAATAGGTATCACTGATGAATCTTTTGATCTAAAGCTTACCAAAAAAACCCTCAAAAGTGCCAAAGATGATATTTCACTAACATCTTCAATCTTTTGCTTGATATTTGTCTTTAACAAAGGCTCAGAGATAGATAATATTTTAAGTGTTTAATTAGGGATCTAAGAATATGGCTCAGTGATAAAACTCATGCGCTGTATAAATGAGCCCAGGGATTATCCCAGCACACACACTAAAATTTTTTACAGTTCAATATAACTAAAAACCCTAGCTTCTTAAACTGTGGACCAGAACCCCATATAAGGATATGTAACTGAATGTAGGAGAGTCAAATCACAAATTTCTTTATGATTTATTATCAGTAAATGGTTTGTCCATAACTATTTTATATACGTGTATGCCCCAGGGTTATGTAAAAAAATTCGGGCAAGGGACTGGGGTGATAGCACAGTGGGTAGGGCGTTTGCCTTCCACACGACCAATCTGGGTTCCAGTCCCAGCATCCCATATGGTCCCCTGAGCACCGCCAGGAGTAATTCCTGAGTGCATGAGCCAGGAGTAAACCCTGTGCATCGTGGGGTGTGACCCAAAAAGCAAAAAAAAAAAAAAATCTGGCAAAAAGTGATTGTGAACAGAAAAAGTTTAAGAAACCTTTATGTGAAAAAAAAAAAACTAAGATCAAATCAAAGTTGTTCAAGCTTTCCTTTGATAGAGTCTCAATTAAAGACTTTAATATGCCTTGTGAAACTAGAAACAAATAAATAAACCTTTATGTATAGAACAGGATAAATCCATGGGTGTGAGATAAATCCAGTGTTGGAGGACAACACTGTAGTCCAAAAATATGATGAAACTAGTCTCTGAAACTAAACTTACTTTTGTGGGGTGATCTTTGTCCTTGGATCTCTTCTGGTCTCACATAACCTATAATCTGAAAAGAAACTCTTAAAGCTAAGAATGAAGTTACCAAAGAATTAAGACTAACATCCATTTTTGAAAAGTAGGATAATGGTGTTTTCTAATAAATTGATGTTTTCTTCAGAATATTTTTTTAATTGAAGAAAAGTTCAGTGCTGATAATACAACCTCAGCTTAACTTTATTTTACTGTTATCTCCTAGGGGACATTAACAATCATCAAAAGGAATATATTTTCCTCGATATTATAAACATTTGATTAAAAAGCAAAAAATTCATTTTAACCTTTGAGAACAGCTAGCCTAATAATGACATTTGTTAGCCTGAAACATAAACACCTTCACAGTGATACACAAAGCTCAGATCTTTCAGCTCTCCAATGCGTTTGTCTTTAAATACTTTTCTTCAAAAGAAGTGTCAATTTTACCAAACAATGGGTCATTAGACGCACTTAGTTTTGCCAAGCACTTATAATCCAGGGGATTTAATTTTTTTTTCTGTTATATAAGTCATGTCCCAAGCCATTTAAGTCCTATCTATTTCTGTGTGTAGGACCAACACCAGATTTTTTTTTTTTTTTTGCTTTCTGGGTCCCACCTGGCAATGCACAAGGGTTACCCCTGGCTCTGCACTCAGGAATCACCCCTGGCCCTGCTCAAGGGACCATATGGGATGCTGGGAATCTAACTCAGGTCGGCCGCTTGCAAGGCAAATGCCCTACCCTCTGTGCTATTGCTCCAGCTCCACTGACACCAGATATTTAAAGCTACCAGATGACTCCAATTGTGCAGTGAAGCTTTTGCACCTCTGGTCTCTGTCTGTGGTTTAGGCACTCTTTTCATACTCTTAAGGCACTCTTTTTAGGCATGCATTTTAGGCACTCGTTTCATGCAGTTCTGCTCCAGTGCTTTTTGATGACTCAATAAATGACCAAAGAATTTCAGCTGCTATGTCTGAGCCTGAAGAATTCAAAGTTAATTAACCAAAATTTCATGTGTTCTAGATTCAGATCTTATGCAAACAGAAGTTCATTTATTGTTTTCAAGTTGGAATGGATTTTTGTATACCTGCCTCAGCCCTTATTTGCTCTATGAAGAATACAATTTTAGAATGGCAGTGAAATGCACTTATATGATTTATAGTGATGAGTATAACCAGTGATGCATACTATATACCTTGCATACTACCATTACTTTTAATAAGTCCTTTTTTCAGTTTTGACCTTTTTGTAATTTCTTTCTTTTTGCTTTTTTATGGGGGGGGGTCACACCCAGCGATGTTCAGGGGTTACTCCTGACTCTGCACTCAGGAATTACTCCTGGCAGTGCTCGGGGGACCATGTAGGATGCTGGGAATCGAACCCAGGTCTGCTGCATGCAAGGCAAACACCCTACCCACTGTGCTATCACTCCAGCCCCTTTTTGTAATTTCTAATTGTCATCACCTCTTTATTCCAGCTTTTTTTCCCTCTTCTACATTTTAATTTTAAAGTATATTTTAAGGACAGGGAAATGGCATTAGTGCATGCAGGAACTCTGGGGTTCAATCCCAGCTCTGTATGTATCCCCTGAACTATTCCAGTCTGATGAATGTGGATGGCCCCAAGACAAAGCAAAAAGCAATTTTTTTCTTTATTTAGTTTTGGGGCCAAACCTGGCCAATGCTGGGAAGCTATTCCCAGCTCTGTGTGCAGGGGTGAAGGGTGGGAGGGCTGGTGTCTCTTCCAGCAATGATCAAGAGTACCAGGTAGTGCTGGTGTTCTAACTCAGGTCTCCTGCATGATTTGTAAGAGCTTAGCCCACTGAGCTATCTTTCTGGTCCCAAAAAATGCATTTTAAATTTAGACAATTGTGCTTCTCAATATAAAAACATCTTTTGGATATTACTCAAATATAGCCTTGAAAAATATATATGGATGAGGTCAGAAAGATAGTACAGTGGGTATGTTCTTGCTTTCCACACAGCTGACCTGGGTTTGATCCCCAGCATTCTATATGGTACCCCGAGCGAGCACCACCAGGAGTGATCTCTGCACACTGGTAGGTGTGGCCCAAAAAACGAAAACAAAAGTTAAATAAATATCCCTCCAAGATACTTTCTTTGCTTGCCATTATTGCAGATACCATACCTTCACACTCACTGAACTGAAAAACCTGAAAACGAGGGCAGTGTTTTCCTGTTTAGTAGCACAGGTACCCAGATCTGGCACATAGACACTGCCTAAAAGTGTGCTGAAATACTTGTTTTCCTTGTAAGATACTCCATTTTTTTTTCTCCCCACTCACTGTTTTTATTTCTAGAGACTCCTAACCATATCATTGGTAGGAGCAGAAGTTCTCTCTTAAACCTGGGGCCTCTAAAATGTTGATCTATTGTTCCCAAACACACAAGCAAGTGGTGTCTTAGGGCTGGCAAGTTATCTACAATTTAGTCTCTCTCTGCTAGAGCAACAAGGTGAGCATCAATTTCTGCTTCTGTAAGACTCCTAAATTTAGGATTTTCAGCTTAGAACTACTTCAACTTCTCTTTCTGAAGGTTTAAAAGCAATTGATGGAACAGTAGACAGATGTAATTGTACTTTGGACACTGTTCAAATGTCCAATCAAATTTCTTCTTTACTTTTTTTTTTCCCAAGAAAGCTGATTGACTCGGTTTGTATCACTCCTGCTGCGGTGGCTTTAAACCCATAGTAATAACCTGCAGGATCACACTTGGACACCTGATATTCCTTTAAAATTCTGTCTCAGGGTACAGAGTGATAGCACAGAGGATAGGGTGTTTACCTTGCACACAGCCTACCTGGGTCCAATCTCCAGCCTCCCATATGATCCTCAAACACCACCAGAAGTAATTCCGAGTGTAGAGTTAGTAGTAACCCCTGAGCATCACTGGATGCCCCCCCCCCCCCCCGCCAAAAAAAAAGAACAAATTTCTTTTTCGGTGTGCACTCCACTCGGAGGGTACCCTCATCCCAGCTGCAGGTGTACAATTGGTTTTTCATAACTCTACCTTGGGGTTGCCTCTGTTGTTTAGGGCACAAATTTCTTGTACTCTAAAGAGAGAAAGACCTTTTCTTTATCTCTCCAAAGAACATCTTATTCTCCTTAGAATTAGTATCCTCTCAATAAATCTATTTTACTTCAAAAACAATAATACCCCATGTGAGACATCCATCAGAACGGCTGGAGCATTGCAGTCCTGCAGTGCCAGTCGGCTTGGCCACCCACACACCCTGCAGTCAAAGCCAAGCGGGTGATAGCAGGAAGCTGCTTCCTGCCCCTTGAGTGCCAGGCAATTCCCTGGTGCAATACGCAATGTCTCGAGCAAATCTTTGTGATTTGTAAACTCTGAAAACTGTTAAAAATAATAATAATAATAATAAATAAGATTTTGTCCCGGGGTAGATACAAGTGGGAGGCCTTGGGTTTGATCCTTGGCACTGTGAAATCCAATAGAGAATGAAATTCTCTAAACTAGAATGAATGTTTTAAAACTTTTGACTTGGATATGAATTAGGGAGTAGTGATTTTTTTTTCTTTTCCAGGTTTGTATTTCAGCAGTCAGAAAAGTTTGCCAAGGTGGAAAACCAATACCAGTTACTGAAAATTGAAACCAGTGCATTCCAAGGGCTTCAAAATAAAATCAGTTTAATTTCAGAAAAGGTAATTATCAAATGATTTATTGACGAAGATTTTCTTATCTCTTTCTGTTATCATACTTTTTTTTAAAATTTTTATTAGTGAAACACGATGAGGTACAGTTGTGACTTACAAATTGTTATCATCCTTCTATTCCTTTTTTCTGTCCTTTATTTTTGGTCCTATATTATGTGGTTCCTGGGAACAAATCACATATGCAAGACAAGTAAGACAAGTGCTTTGTCTCTGAGCTGTATCCCAGCCCATTTCCTGCCTTTCATACCAGTTTCCCAATCTTTTTCCAACTATGATCTCCTTCAGATCTTATTTCCTTCCTGTGCACTTCCCCCACCCCTAGATTGGCCCCCTAATCTTGAGTTGTAACCCCCAATTTACACAATTTCCCTATGCCCCCTTTGAAAGACACTTGATTTCAAACATTACTATTATAACTCCCACTGATCTCCCTTACTTTTCGTATCCTACCTTTACTTTGGTTTAAATTCATAGTTATTTAAAATGACAGAAAGCTTTTTTTTGTACCATGTTACTGTTTTTTAAGAAAAAAATCTACTAGAATATATTGGCAACCCATAAATACTTGTTATTGTAGTATTCCAGCCATCATTTGCCAATTGCACGTGACTGATGTGGGTCAAATCTCTGGCATCCCATATGGTCCCCTAAGTACCACCAGGAGTAATTCCTGAGTACAGAACCAGAAATAACCCCTGAGCATCGTTGGATCTCTCTCTCTCTCTCTCTCTCTCTATATATATATATATATGTATATATATATATATATATATATTTCTCTCTCTCTCTCTCTCTCACACACACACACACACACACACGCACACACAAACACACACAAAGAGTAAATTTTCACCAGCCTGATTCATCAGTGTGTTCAAGAGACAGGATTCAGAAACACTTCTGAGCTTTTTCTCATTGCCCACCAGGTTTTCTTTTCTCTTCTCTAAGCCTCTGTTAATAACCTGTGTTATTTGTCATGACATGGTAGTATATCCTGACCTTTTGTTATTATTGTTAATTTGTCTCTTTTACTGATCTTTAGAACCAACTTTATCTTTTATAACTCTAGTCCCTAGTAATGGAACTAGCTCACAGAAGAAACTCAATGAATCTTAATGGAACATCAAGGAATATGAGATGTAAAAGAGCCAAAACACTGTCTCCCCTATCAAATAGTAAAGTCAAGAGTATATGCAGTATAAGCTCTGAGCACCACTGGGTATGGCCCATAAAACAAAAATAAACAATAGGCCTGGAAAGATAGTACAGTGGTAGAACATTTGTCTTGCAAACCTGGGTGTCCCAAGTTCAACCCCTAGTACTGCATATGGTTCCTTTACCCCCACCAGGAGTGATTCCTGAGCAAAGAGCCAAGAGTAAGTCATGAGCATCACCTTGTGTGGCTCCCAAATAAATAGACATAATTTTTAAAATAATAAATAAAAGACTAACATTTGGAGATAGCTCAAAGGACCAGAGCATATGCCTTGCATGTGAGAGCCTGGTTCCATCCACAGCACTGAATGCCCTCAACAGATACCAGTCGGAGTAGCCCCTGAGCATTATGCCATGAATAAAAAAAATTATATTAAGAAAATAATTATATGTGTTAAGTGCCAAATATGTGGGAAATCCCTATTCCAATAAGCACTCCCAGAGGTTCATTCTGTCACAGAAGCTTGGCCAGGATGCCGCACTGACAAGCTGCGATCTCGTCCAGAGCATGAAGGAAGGAGAGAATTTATTGCTGCAAAGTGGAGTGAAGAAAAGCCTAGGGCAAGGAGAGACTGTGGAACTGTGGTCTTTATCCCATGCCGTAATAGGCACAGCAGTTAAAACTTAATCTGTATGCCTAGTGTAGAATGATTTAGAAGGAAGTAACCAGATGTGGATGTTGGATAATCCTTTGTTTTAGGCCATCTTTCTTTGGTATGTGGTTCAGATGTCCCATTCAAGTACTTCCATAGCTCCTTCCCTATCATACCCCAGATAAACTTATCTTTCTATTTTTCACTTTTGTAAATGCTATAAAGGCCAATTCTGGTACCTTTTCCAGAAGTCATTTAATTCTTTTTCCAAGCAGAATCTTGCAGAGAGTAGTAAGATTTAGGAAAGATAACAATTTTTATAATGATTTTATTGCTTAAACAGGCAAATAACCATAACAGTTATTTCTAAGTTGCTTTTCATTGGAATAAAATAGAAAGAATACATGATATACTTAAAAGTTTTTTCATTTTTTCTAATTTTTCCACACCCACTTTGCTCAGGGCTTACTCCTGGCTCTGGACTCGGGATCATTGCTGGTAGTGCTAGGGAACCAAATGGGGTGCCAGGGATTGAACCCCAGTCAGCCACTTGCCAGACAAGCATTTTGTCCATTGAACTATATGTCTGGCTCCAATTTAAGAGTTCTTAAATATTTTTCTCTTGAATATACATGCGTGAATATTTGAACTATAAATTGGTATATATTTTTCTAAAAGTTTTACCAGATGTTTTAAAAATATTTATTAATGGACTATTTTCCAGTATGATTCTGATAAACCCAGATATTTTTAGACACTGGTAGAACAGCACCACTGTTAAAGTATGTTTCCCTAATACAAAAGTTATTAAGTAGCCTTGGGAATTGTTTTGTGTTACAAATACAGCTTGAGTCCACTGAAAGTATCCTGCAGGAAGCTACATCATCCATGTCTTTGGTGACCCAGTTTGAGCAGGAAATATCAAGCCTCCAAAGTAGCATGCATAAGACTCAAAGTAGTGAAGAGATGCTCACTCAAAAAATGCAAAGCCTTACTGAGAAGTTCCAGAATGTTACTGATTTCTGGAAGAGAAGCCTAGAAGAAATGAGTGTTAATACAGATATTTTCAAATCAGAATCCAAACATATACATTCACAAGTCACCGCCCAACTTAACAGAGCTGAACAAGGAATAAAGTCTCTCACCGAAAGGCTAAGAGACTTGGAAGATAGCACCCTCAGAAATGTCAGAACAGTAAAAAGACAAGAAGAAGAAGATCTTCTGCGCATTGAGGAGCAGCTGGGCTCCGACACAAAAGCAATAGAGAGGTTGGAAGAGGAACAGCATGCTCTTTTTGCCAGAGATGAAGACCTGACGAACAAACTGTCCAACTACGAACCCAAGGTTGAAGAGTGCAAAACTCATCTTCCAGCAATAGAAAGTGCTATACATTCTGTCCTCAGAATCTCACAGGATCTAATAGGGACAGAAAAGAAAATGGAAGACTTGACTCTTAAGATGTTTAATATGGAGGATGATATGCTAAAAGCAGTGGCTGAAATCATGGAGATGCAGAAAACCCTTGAAGGACTTCAGTATGATAACAGCATCTTAAAGATGCAAAATGAACTGGACATGCTAAAAGGAAAAGTTCATGATTTTATAGTATATTCAAATACAGGAGAAAAAGGAACATTAAAAGAACATAATACAGAAAACAAAGAAATTGACAATGATTTTTAAATTCACTACAGTTATCCTGATGAGCCACATGAGAATATATAAATTGATTTATTCTGTGCATTTAAGGGTTTTGGTTTGGTTTGGGCGTTTTATTCTTGATTTTGGTGGGTTTTAGCCATACCCAGCAGTGCTCGAATCTTACTCCTGGCTTTGTGCTCAGGAATCACTCCTAGGAGTGCTCAGAGGATCATACGCAGTGCTGGTGATTGAACAGCTTCCAAGCCCCTTAACACCTGTTTTGTTTTTACATGCTTCATATTATTGGAAAACTAAGCAACATGTCCACACAAATGGATTGTGTTTTGGGGAATTGGGGGGGAGGATTTAGGCTTTTGTATATCTGTGGTGTCTAAGTAGGAACCAAAGGCCTCCGTGACAGGCTACCACTCAGCCCTCAAAATTTTAGTATTAAAACTTTTTATTTTAACTATCTTAAAAAAAAATTTCTTAAATATCTATTTTTCTACTTTTTAAAACAATATACTCAATTTTCTTACGTTTTTTAATAATGAATCAACAGCATCATAAATTTTACCCATTATAATTGACCCAAATATATTCATGTCTCTAGCAGCTACTAAGGAGTGGTTAACCCTTTACTAAATAAAGCCAGTTTGGATTTTTGGTTTTGTTTTTTGTTTTTGTTTTTGTTTTTTCAGCCTAATGCCTGTTTCTTACACCTTGCCTGAAACTTGATCTGTCAGGTTAGTTAGTAATGTCCTGGACTCAGTTAGTTCTTCATTTCTTTTGTTCGTTACTTAAGATTTAGAATCCAGACAACCAACTTTATAGAAATTTTATCTAACAGCGATAACATGACTGAGGGAAAGCCATGAATTAGTATGTACTTTTTGAAAACTCTGGAGTCTGGGACAATGGCTTTATTACTTTACTTGTTCTTAAAGTTTTAAGGCATTTGTTAAAGGTTATTTTAAAAGGTCATACCAAGTTATGCTCCATCTAATGATTCTGTGCTGAGGCTGAGGTTCAGCCTGGTGGTGTTTGGAGGCCCCCAGGCATATACCCAGTAGTGCTTCGGGGCCATGCAGTTCCAGGGCTCAAACTCATGACCTCATACAGGACAGACTGCTACATTGACTATATCTCAAGGTAGGTCCTCTTATAAGAATTTATTTTTGTTTTTATATGGAAGACATACCCAATAGTCCCTAGAACTTACTCCTGACTCTGTTCAGGGATCACTCCTAACTGGATTTGCTGGGAATAAAACTATGGTCAGCCATAGGTAAGGCAAGTTCCTTACCTGCTGTACACAGCCCTTAAATAAATATAGTCTTATTGAAGGCTTCTATAAATGAATTAAGTATATTCTTTGAAGTATGAACATTGGAATATCTTTGTATCCCTGGTCATTTTTTTAGGATTATGTTTTACAGACGCTTGAATTTTCTAGATATATTTTTTTTTCATCATCCTGTTATTCGTCGATTGCCTCGAGCAGGCCCCAGTAACGGCTCTTTCATCCTAGCCCTGAGATTATATTCAAGGCTCTTTAGGAGAATGAGACCCATCATTGTTACTGGTATTTGGCATATTTGGTACGCCACGGGGAGTTTGCCAGACTCTGCCCTGTGGGCAGGCTACATTTGATAGCCTGCAAGTTTGTCCAAAGTAGGAATGAGATAATAAGATGTCATAAAAAAGATGTCCTGATAAGATGTAGATATATGGTCTCTAAAATAAATTATTCTACTTACAATTGAAAGACACTAATGAAACGATAGGAGGAGGAAAAGAGGGGGGAGCATGATGAGAAAATAACAATTATGATCTTTTCAATTAAAAGTTTTTGGGTGCTGGAGCGATAGTACAGTGGGTCCCATCCTGGGCATCCCATATGGTCTCCCATGCATCACCAGGAATAATTCCTGAGTGCAGAGCCAGGAGTCACCCCTGAGCATCCCTAGGTGTGACCTCCACAAAAAGCCAAAACTTTAAAAAATTAAAGATATGTGAGAGAGAGTGTACAGGGGCTGTTACTTGCCTTGCATGTGGTTAACCCTAATTTGATCACTCGCATTGCAGTCCCTAAGCACTGCCACCAGACTCAGCCAGAGATAGGCCAGAAACCTAAAAAAAGAAAATCACAGTATTGGTTTCAATGTACTCTGAGAAATTTTAGGTTTCTGTGTTTTTATATTTCTAAAATACTATGTTTTAAATATTTTTACTTCTATCTTCATGTCAATGAAATAAATAACTGAAACATTGTTGCTTCAATCTCTATCCTGTCAGGGAAAATTCATTTTTCTACACTTTTGACAGCTATTTGGCTGCCTAGCAGACCTGATTCAACTTTATTAACCTACAAATATCACAGTCATGGTTACAAACAATAAATGGGAACAGTAACCACTATAGCCTATGATGGTTTCCTATGGTCCCAGGGAAACAAAAGCCTCCCTAATACATAATACTTGTGAAGATTTAGATGTACTCAGTTTGTCTTCCTCTGAATCTTCTCTTCATTTACAAAGACACTTGAAATTTCAAAACTGTTCTGTGTATCAAATATTATATTGTATTGTCAGCCTTTCCTTTAAAGATTACCAATAGTCTAAGACACATTTTTGTATCTTTGTTATTAACAATAAATTTTGTAACAGTTAACTTCTGATAGAGTTCTGGATTTATTGCTTATAATTAGTGAAAATTAACTGCTTATAAGAAAACATAGGGGAGGTGGAGCAATAGGACATTGGGAGGACAATGGGGTTCATCCCCTCTCTGGCATCCATATGGCTCACTGAGCACTACTGCCAGAAGTAATTCCTGAGTGCAGAGCCAGGAGTAACCCCTGAACATCGCTGGATATGACCCAACAACAACAACGGAAAAAAAAAAAAACTAATTTTTTTAAGCTTTGGATGTAGAGCTTAACAGTTGTTTATAGATGCTAGATAGTACAGCAGATTCAGTGCTTGCCTTGCTTGCAGCCAAATGGGGTTCAATATCTGGTACCACATATGGTCCCTGAGCCCTACCAGGAATGATCCCTGGGCAAAGAATCAGGAGAAAACCCTGAGCACCACTAGGTATGGTCCCCCCTCCCAGCAAAAAAAAAAAACAAAAAAAAGTGTGTGATATTTTCTAAAATCTATGCACAATTTGTTTGGCTTTTTTCGTCACACCAAGTGGTGCTCAGGGGCTACTCCTGGCTCCGCATTCATGGATCACTCCTGGCAGTGCTTGGGGGACCATATGGGGTACCAGGGATCGAACCTGGGTCAGCCCCATGCAAAGCAAATGCCCTATCCGCTGTACAATTACCCTGACCCCAAAATTATGCATAATTGCCGAAAGCTATTAACTAAGTGCACTTTAATATTTTATAACAAAAAATGGTTTATTCTTTAAAATTTCATAGAAAATTCAACTTATAAAGAAGCAAAGGTAATAGCATCTTTAATCTTGATCTAATTATAGATTATTGTTTGAATCTATAAGTTCGCCAAACATGAAAAAAAAATTCTTAATAGATACCTCATATTTGCATTGTTGGCCCAAACTAAATTTTTGGGGCTTTTGTCTTTTTGGATCACATCCAGCTTTGCTCAGGGGTTACTCCTGGCTTTGCATTCAGAAATCACTCCTGACGATGCTGGAGAACCATATGGGATGCTGGGGATCGAACCTTGGTTGGCCCCAGGCAAGACAAATGCCCTACCGGCTGTACTACCGCTCTCAGTGGTAGAACATTTGTCTTACATGTGTGAGGCCCTTGGCTAGTTCCCTCAGCTCCAGCAAAAAAAAAAAAAAAAATATATATATATATGATGATGATGATAAAGATAAAAAAAACCATTTAAAAATAAAAACAAAACATTATTTTGGGGGCTGGAACAATAGCACAGCGGGTAGGGAGTTTGCCTTGCACACAGCCAACCCGGGTTTGATTCCCAGCATCCCATATGGTCCCCTAAGCACCGACAGGGGTAGTTCCTGAGTGCAAAGCCAGGTGTGACCAAAAAAGAAAAAAAATTAAAAAAACTATTATTTTGCCATCACAACTTGATTTCTTTCCAATTTGTGCCTGTTCCTTAATTCTTTAAACACAGCATTTTCACAATCTACCTCCGCTATTATTTTTAAAAAATGGGGTCACCTCTTGGTACAGTAATTAGCATATACCTATTGAGAAGGAAACTTCTAAAATATGACACCACAGGGCAGGGTCAGCTTTGAATGAACTTCTTGCTTTGAATCAAATTCCCATTTTAGATTGCGTTTTTGCAACTGTATAGCAGTTTCTTTTTTTAAGCTTCCATGAAAGTATTCTAAGCACACTAAAATTTTATTTTCAATAATCAAAACAAAGTTTATGTATTCATCTCAAAAGTCCAGATGAGGAACCAAAGAGAGAGGTAGGGTGCTTTACTTGCACAGGACCCACCTGGGTCCCATCTCCAGCATCATATGTGGTTCCTCAAGCACGGTCAGTACTAATTTTTGAGTACAGAGCCAGGTGTAAGCCCTGAGCACTGCTGGGTGTGGTCCCAAAATACAAAAATGTTCAGGTGAATGAACTGTGCATTTCACATTTAAGACAACTTTAAAAATCATAGTGAAGACAGTCTACAACTTTTAATTTTGCTAATTTGTGATTGAGTTTTGGACAACTCCCAGTGGTGCTCCAGGGTTGCTCTCAAAGGTGTACCAGTTAGTGTTGGGTCTGAAGCCATTGCTCCTGCGTGCAGCATCATTCCAGATCTTTGAGCTCTTTCCAAGCCAATGCACAACTATTTTAGAAAAAAACTTGTTGACTTTAATTAATTTCCTCTTCCTTAAAAAAAAAAAAATACTTTTCAGCTTTTATGTACATTGTTACCTGAATTTTTTACAATCCACTTATGGCCATTTTCTGTCTCAAAATAAGGGACAAACTTTATATAGCTTGATTGTTCTATAAATATTGTCCAGTCAGACTGGTTTTAATTATTACTAGAAATTCTATAGTTATCCTTCACTTGACAATGACTTCCTAGAAAACAGGCCAAAGCAGTCTGGAGTGATAGTACAGCGGGTGGGGTGTTTGCCTTGCACACGACCGACCCGGATTTGATTCCCAGCATCCCATATGGTCCCCTGAGAACCACCAGGAGTAACTCCTGAGTGCATGAGCCAGGAGTAACCCCTGTGCATCGCCAGGTGTGA